CGGCCGATATCTTTCTTTGATCTGTAGAGATAAATAGATTTAGATATACACATTTATTGTGTTGATCCCTCAAATGCAGTTATCAAACACTTGTGGAAAATATATACAGTACGACATGTTCTGGTCGATCAAGTGGAAAGTAACTGTGCATGTAAGTGCATCACCGCTTGACAGAGTACTGCTTGTTGTAATCCATATAACACACTCTGCTGGTGAAAGAGCTCTCATAGTTTAATAAAATTAAACTCAAATGAAATGCTATTGACTGGTGAATATAAATATAAATCTATATCTGCGCTTATCTGCAATAAAATTAGCCGATACCGATAGTCGCTCGATGTGCGAATATTGGCTGGTCGATTAATCAGTCAGGCTCTACTAACAAGTGTAATATGTACTTAATAAAAAAACTTTATTTACATTCCAACAAATCGTCAAGCTATTTAGTCCTAATTTTATATAAAGGCACCCCTTAGAGAAAGGATGAGCTTCATAAAACATCTCATCAGCTGGTCTTTTCATGATTTGCACACATTGTCAACCTGCCAGTAATATCACTGATAGCTACTGTTATATTAAGTGAATGGGTGAAAACTGGAACTTACATTCCATGTACTGCTGCAGCTGGATGAAATCCACAGCAGTCAGTGACCCTTCAGTGTCATCAGAGGAGGCCATGCCGGTCAGCTGAGTGGAAAAAAAAGAGGAAACATAACCAAGAGGTCAGGAAGGAGCAGACCACACGATGAGATGCTCACCTCCAGAGATTCTTCAAGGAGACATCTTTGTGTATTGAGTGTCAGGTCATCCACTGTTTTGGCAGTGACTCACAACTGGTTAGCCTTCATTCTTTGGCTTGTACATGCTAGTAGTAAGTCAAACACTCTACTCTCCATAGATACTGATTAAGCACAGTGTCTGTTTCAAGGTTTTTAGACTGTCTGGGACTTCACTTTACCTGTTAAATGCTAGGAAATTAGGAATCACTGTTGAAATTACACCTTGTGTGCTGCATTTAAAGACTTATGGAAATGTTGTGGTGTGTTCCTAAAATGGAAATGCCTAGTATGAATCTAGAGCTGCTTGTAATAACATAAGAGACTACAGAGTTTGATGATCAAATAATTGAAAATAACCTGCCACCATCAAAAAAAATAATAAAATACATGGGGAGATGGGTCTATAGATTGTGTGGAGAAATACACAAGATAAAAAATAAACCTTTGCTCTACCAGTCTGCAATCCCAAATTAAATATGGTAATTTCCCATCAGTATTATCAGTAATGTTTAGTTTAGCTCAAGCTGATCAAAAATCATTAATTATGTCACAACCTTTTAAAAGGGCGACTAAGCTGTAAAACTGAACTGAACTGCACTCCCATTATCTCTGTAGTTGCCTGATAGGTGTTCATTCGTCCAGACAGGTGGAAGTATATGAACCCTTACTTACCTTTCTGTCTTCTCACACCTCAGCGGGAGTAAACATTCAACTGTCCCCAAAACGGAGCTCTGCAATACGGAACTTTTTGATGTTGTATGACAGCAGCTGGAGGTTGTGGGTAAATGTCTGCCGCGCGGCATTAGAGGATAGAAGGGATTAAGAGGGGGCGGAGGAGGAGCTTTAAGTGGCACTGCCTCGCGCGTGTACACTCAAACACACACACATGCACGCGAACCTGTGGGATTTATGATAGCAACAAATCAGCACTACTAAATACTACTTTAAACCCCCAAACGTCAATGACTTTTAGACTTCCTGGTTCCCAGTCTTGATGTGAATGAAGACATGGATGACTGATTTAGGCTACATTATTTAAGAGTTTATAAGATCTGAAAAGCATTATTTAAAAAACATTTTTGGCGGTCTTCACTGATGCTCTCAATTCAAAATAAAGTACTTTTGCAAATTGACATTAGTATGATTAGCAAAGTGTACACAACAGGGTGGATAGTTTGACACACCTTGAACAAGCTAGCAGGGGCCATTACATGTAATTAAAGGGATAGGCTACTTCACCTGTTGAAACATGAATCTGTGTTGACATTGGGTCTAATATGTAGTAGAAATGTGAAATAAATTTTGAAGTTGGTGCCTTCTTGGCCTTTGAGCTTTTGGCTCATGTTGATGAAAGACACCAAATCCCAGAATGCACAGCACCGCAGGCCACTCCCACTACGGTCCTCTAATTCAGAATCAGAATCAGAAATACAGAGGTAAATTTGATCGTTACAGTTTCTCCAAAATATACAATATAGCAGTAGAAATAGCTTCCAAGCAATATGGTGGACGTTAAGTTTCGATTCTGGGAGAGAGTTCCCACTCACTGATCTGTGATTGGTCTGTAGCTTCAGTGGTCGAAAGTATGAGGAACTAGCGTTGTAGTTTCACCCGGCTAACTGGAACAGCTTCCAGTGATGCAAAAATCGTCATTTGCGTCATCGGAGGCTCCTTTTCAGACTTAGAAATACAAAGATTTCCCATCTCAGGGGAAAATGAGGGCGGGATGCACGACCATTTAAAAATACTACCAGGTTTCTAATGATACAAAGCTTAATGCAAATGGGTAAAGTATTACTTTAAGGGAGTGTGAAGAACCATAAAGTATAAATCAATATAGATAAGAGGTGCTTGGGTAATGAGTGTAAATATACAGGAGATAAAATTCCAACTGCAAATCGCAGGCTGGTTGGCAGTTCGAAGGTTTAATTCAGAGGAGGTAACAGGATAGACTATAATAAATCTTAATTGTCCACCAGTGGTGGAAATTGGCCTCATGCTCTCCAGATACATAAAACAGTGTAAAACATTCAGACAATCAATAACACAGAAAACATAGCAGCTATGTTTACACATTAAGAACAGTTCATACCATGATTCAGGCATGAGTGCCTGTCTGTCTGCTCTATAATTAAAGGTTCAATAATCAAAAGCCAAGATTATGTGTTGAAAACTTTGGATACCTTTTAATGTGTGTCAAGCACCTTTGGGCTGCATTTACATAGAGTACTAGAAATAACCCTTGAGCAGTAAACTAAAACAAAAGTATTATGAACACCTCTTAATCCAAGGAAATTAGGAAAAATATACAGAACATAAGAATATATATATTTATCAACTCACTCATGCACTCTATACCTTTTCAACAGATTAATGCCTGTTTCATTTAGCTGATAGCGGGTTAAATTTTCAGTCTTTCTATTGTATGTATGTATGTGTGTAAGAGTGTGTGTATGCATACATGTATATATGTGTGTATATTTAATTTTGTTTTGAAATTGTGTAATTCGATTTTCTTAGTTGTTTTATTTGTCTCTTAAGAGGTGAGGTCCCTTGTATAAGCCTGTTGGTTTCTTGACCTCTCCTGACACACCTTTTATATTTTTTGTTAATCCTATTAGATGTATTCTTTTATGTGTGCTAATAAATAAATAAATAAAAATACAAAATATTGGCAATACATAGTTTATGGAGACTAAGAGAGAAACATATTGACCATGAAGATGCAGGGCTATTGAGTAGATAAAAGACCAATTGACCCTTGTGCAATGGATAAATATTTTGTAAATAATCAAATGATAAATACAAGGCATTGTAATCATTCTTCAAAGTCTTCTTTATTGAAAAATGCATTATCAGTTCATGTTCACAGCCATACTATTTTATATTCTGTATTGAATAAGCTTGTTTAATCAAAGTGCAAATTGTTAAAATATTTTGTACAGCAATGTTTGTGAGCATGACCATTCACTGTGGACTGCCTGAAATGTCAAATGAGGAAAAAACATATAATTGAAAAGAATAGAATATGACTTTATTTTTCCACAACTTGGATAATTGTCTTTGGCTTTACAAGAACAAAAACAAAAACATGATAACAAACAAGACAGCATTTAAGAAGGCCTATAGCAAGAGATTACAAGAGCGCTTGGAGTCCTTGACAACACCAACGTCAACTTGGTTTGTAAATAAAATAAACTGTATTTAGTTAAGTAATAAGTCATTTCATAGGCTATATGCTAGCATATAACATACGTCATCATAAGTGTATTTCTACATGTATATTTGGAGACAATATTTTAATCTAATGCGATCTATTTCTTAATCTATTTTAATCTGAACAAGCTGGTGAGGAAGGCCCGCTCTGTAGTGGGTCTTGATCTGGACACTTTGGAGTCAGTGGCTGAGAGGAGGATGAAGGACACAATCTTATCCATCCTGGATAACTCCTCTCATCCTCTACATGGTGAGCTGTGGCAGATGGGCAGCTCCTTCAGCCAACACCACCAAAACAGAGCACTTCAGGCACTCCTTTGTGCCCACTGCCATAAGACTGTATAACAGCAGCCTATGACAACAATAACAGTCCGTCCTTGACACAAAACTTCACCCCCATAAAACACTACCCACATGACCTGCTTCATTATTATCATTACTAACATTGTATTATTATTATTATTATTATTATTATTATTATTATTTATCATCAATATATATATACATATATGCTGTACATTATATATATTTTATTATATTAGTCTATATTATATAACATTTCATTATATTACACTATATTGTGCACTATATTATATTATATTATACTACATTATATTATATAACTGCACTCTGCACTACTGTGGTACAACACTGCCTCTCTTCTCTGCTGTTTTACATTACTTGCTGCTATTTATCATACCAAGTCACTTTAATCATCACTTGTCCCTTTATCTTGTCATTCTCTGCAAATACTGTCTCAATTCCATGCATAGTTAACTTCATCATTCATTTTGTACCCTGTATATACCCCCTATTTTTATTTGTATTTATCTTATCTATTCTGTTTAATGTGTATTTTGAGCTACTTGTCTGTGCTGCTGCAACGCCCGAATTTCCCCTCTGCGAATCAAGAAAGTATTATCCTATCCTTTATTGGTCTGACTTTATGCCGAGGCAGTAGGTGGCGATAAAGAGCTTCCGCTGCAGGTGACGGATGCAGTAAATGGGTAGAGGAAGAAGAAGAAGCGCGCTACGCTGGTGTTTACGTTCTCCTACTTCCGTAGCTATCCAAAGCGAAAAAAAAAAAAAGCGTCACTCATCTACAGTTTAATCCAATAATTTGAGAAGAAACACTCGGTCATGTTTCACTTTTCTAACATAAGCATAAGAGATGATTGGCAGATAAATATCAGTAAGGTCGTTTGCTGTCCACTGTAGGCGCTGTGTCGTGAGTTTTCCTCACCCAGTCACCATCGCAGGCGAAGCTAAAGCTAAAGCTGGCGGTGTGTTAGCTGCGGGTCAGTGGCAGTGGACATAATTTGATAAATCGTTGCCTGATCCGCATTTAGTCCAGCGCTAATTTAGATCTCTAACAAGGCAGTCATGGCCACTAGGCGACTGACCGATGCCTTCTTGTTAATGCGGAACAATGCAATCCAAAACCGGCAGATATTGGCTGAGCAAGTGAGTACATACGACCCCCGTCTGAGTACACGTAGCAATGCTGCGGTGAGTGGTCTGCATCGTTTTGACATTTTACTGTGTGTTTGTTTGCATATAGCCAGTGTTAGCTAGATAAAAGTGTATTTAAGTAGCTGTTAGTCATGACTCAGGAGATTTCTCTTAGTGTTTTCTATGTACACCACAGGACTGGTTCGTGTGACTCAGTGAGGTGATGGAGGAGGGTCAGAAGGGGATGTGCTGTCATGTTATTATTATTATTATTTTTAACTCTTAATAGATAATTGTAGTTAGTTAAATATTTCTTCAAAATAGTCTGCTCTTCCTCTTTTCTCAGATAACTGTACACAATTAATTAGATTAAAGTCACAGGTGTTTTGTGTTCACACTCCAGTTTGTTTTCCCTTGCAGTAACTTTATGGAGGAAGTTGATCTAGTCAAGCTGGTTTTTGTTTTAAACCACTAGTTGATTCTTCCTATAAACATCAGCTGGTTTTGCACTGTAGGACATCCAATACATGGTTTCATTTGTTCGTCACAAACAGAGGAGAGTAGATCATCGAGAAGTCTCCCTGCCTTTCAGAAAGACGTATGATCCTTAAGGGGTTTGTCTCATAAAGACATGAAAACCAAGAATGCAAATCTGCAAGTTTTCCTGTGAAACACCTAATTTTAACAAAAATACCCCTCTTCTGTCACTTTTAATTCCCTGATACACATGTCAGTATCTTAACTCTAACTGAGCAGACTGTCCTCTGCGACTGAGTAAAGGTATCTAATTGTACCCCAAAAAATCATTTATTTCTAGTATGATAGTAGTAAGATGCATTCACCCTTATATGAATATTCACATTAGAGATTTCCTTTTTAGCCTCCTAAAGCAGAAGACAGTCAAAATAGATTCCTCCAACTCTGTGACACTTTTTAAGTTTTCAGACGAGGTGCAGGACACACAGCTGGGCAAGCAGGTGAAGGCTGGTGAATCAATCAAATATTGATTTCTTCAACTGAGCGAAGTGAACAAAAACTTGTCCTAAATCTTTTTCCTAATAAACTTCCCTCTAGGAAACGCTGATCTTTAAGTGCCACTAACAGATCACAACCATAACTTACCAGGTGTAGACCTTTAAACGACCTTAAGTCCTGGAAGAACACAAACTTTTAGTTTATCTCTGTGAGTGACACATTGTAGATTGGTAGTGCTGTGGTTCACATCTGGAGTATCAGCATCCACTGTATGATTAAGACAAGCCAGCTTTGTGGTCTGGTACTCCAGAGCTGAGAACATTTTTTTTTTTTTTTTTCAACAAGTGACTCATGCTTTGAGAGAGCAGCTGCTGTGTTCAGCTGATGAACTCCTCAAACAATGTCTGCTAATTGACTTTCTGAGCGCAAACATAAGACTCATTCATCACTCAGTAACCTGCGGGTTTTTGTCTTCAATTTTAGCTCTGTATATATCGCACGCCTCATCATCTGTAACTGCACAGATTTAGAGATGTTTACCTAATAGACCTCCATCATACTGCAGAGTTTGTTCAGAGCTCAGTGGCCTTACCAAAATCATTTCTTTAAAAGTTATTTTAAAAAAATACCTTGAAAAAAAATCAGCATTTGCAAACAATCTCCTTTTACCAGAATAAATCAGCATTCTAAAAAGCACCTTCAGGACATTTCTTACAGCGTTCCAAGTACAAACCATATTGTGTGTCATACAGTTTAAATATAACTATAAAATGTTACATGCAAAATGATTGATGTCTTAGTGTCTTACCTGTATTGCACAGTTTGTGTTCAGAGAATATTTGTTACTGTTGTCTTTGTGTCAAGCTTTCTCGATCAGTGCTGTGATTCACTGCTGATGTAAACATCTGTGCACATTCCACCAATATCCCTGAGAAGAAATTGGTTCACTTATTGGTTGAAAATTGATGTATGAATTTGAATTCAAGGAGTATTTTCAGAGCAGTCAAGCTAAAAAATGAAGGCTAAAATAATGAACGTGTTTTTTTGTAGCGTAGGATATCACTCTGATTTAAATCAACAGCAGAGCAATCACTATGAAAAACACATGACCAAGCTGTAATATACCTGCAGTGTTAGAAAATGGGTGAAAAAGATATATTTTGTTTGCCACTTGAAGGAAAAATATTCCGCTTACTTAAGCTGCTACACTCAGGTTTAAAATAATTTGTGTGCTAATCAGGATACAGATACAACATAAAGATTATTGACAGATTAAAAAAAAAACATTATAGATGAATATTGAATATTCTCTGACATGACAACTTCATTGTCTTTACATTTTCTGAACGCCGTCATTTCCTTTTGTTAAACTTATACGTCATAGGTGATCATGAGACTCAACTATATCTACTCTCTCTCTTTACTCTAACGGCTTCTTACATCTTATGAGTATTATTAGGTTGTAGGTAGGTACAAATGTGAATATAGGACAATGATAAATGAACTGAGAATGTTTTTTGTTTTTTTTAACAGTACTTTATTTTATATCCACTATCACTTCAAAATCCGTAATCATTGGTGGGACTGGATTCACAAGCACTTTTATGTTGGTATCAGTTGCTGGTTTTCTGGGGCTCACTTCCTGCTACTTTTGTCTCTCTCTTCTTTTCTTTGTTCTCTGTTGGATGGGACCACTCTGCTATCTGCCAATCATATTAGGAGCTTGATGAGGTACTGTCGCTTTCCTTTTGATGTACAGTTACTTGGGATGCATTCAATATTTTCAACATCATATTAAAGCGTCATTTAAAATGTTTTAATAGAATCGTTTGTTTTTCAGTTGGCTGATGATCGGATGGCCCTGGTGTCAGGGATCAGTCTGGATCCTGAAGCTGCCATTGGAGTCACCAAGAAACTGCCCCCAAAATGGATAGAGGGGGTGGATGAGGTAACAAACACTTTGAATACAGTTTTGTATTATTCCTGCTTACCAGACTGAAACCTTAGAAGGGTATCAATTTGAATTCCTCTACTCTTTAACTAGTACCATTTTTTTTATATGACCCTGGTAAGATCTGTACACAGTCATGTCATGAAGCTTCTGATTGCCAATATTTCCCTCCAGATCCAATATGAAATCACACGGGTTCGGCAGAAGATGAAGGAGCTGGCGATACTTCATGACAAGCACATGAATCGTCCTACGCTTGATGACAGTAGTGAAGAGGAGCATGCAATAGAAATAACTACTCAGGAGATCACACAGGTACAGTTATTTGTCAGTGTACAGACAGAACAATAAACAGTGTGTAGAAAGATGTTTCTGCTTGAGCAAAGATTCCAAATGTCATTATACAGTATCTGTTTTCTCATCCTCTGATTGTCTATCTATGGACCTCTCTATATTTCATGTTGAAGAGTTTGAAATGAAACGTTTGGTTTGTCTCTGCTTGATGATGTCATTTTGTTTTTTTCTTTCTCGCAGATGTTTCATCGATGCCAGAGAGCTGTGACGGGTCTGCAGTCTCGTTGTGGTCACTGCACCGAGCAGGAGGAGAGGCTTTTGAGAAACGTGGTCTCATCTCTAGCCCAAAGTCTGCAGGAGCTGTCCACTAATTTCAGATACACACAGTCCGGTTACCTAAAACGTAAGAACTACAGTAAAGTGGTACCTCCTAAAAAGTCACTTCTTTTGATTCTCATGTTTGTACCATCAAGATAGTAGCTCACAACGCTCTTCTATTCCAGTTTTTTCATGTTATCTAAGCATGAATTATGTTTACATTCCAGGTATGAAGAATCGTGAAGAGAGATCAAAGCACTTTTTTGACTCTGGGCCCCTTATGGAAGAAGATGAAGATTTAGCTATATATGACAAGGTATCTGATTGTTTCCATAAAAAATTCAGCATGTGTAGTAAGAGCATTTTAGGATATATAACTGTGGTTTAAATAGTGGTAAACATGATGCTCATTTCAAACTTTACCACTGAAATAGTATGTGCAAGAAACTCTACAAATGGTTTCAGTGCTTAGGTTTTCTAAGAGCAACACAGGATGTCAAAAATATCTTGGAGTCTTTATGATTGTGTTAGGGTTAATGTATCCACTTTGACTGTTTTTTAATTCATCAACAGCAAAAAGTATTTGAGCAGCGTCTGCTAAATTAGGTCTGTTTTAGCATTTAGTTTAGCATTTAGAGTAATACTTGTGTGAGTATAAAGTAACTACTTTTTATTTCTTCCCTTCAGGGCTTCACAGATGATCAGCTGATGCTGGTCGAGGAGAACTCGGTTATGGTTGAAGAAAGAGAGAAGGAGATCCGACAAATAGTGCAGTCTATCTCGGATCTGAATGAGATTTTCCGAGACTTGGCCACCATGGTGGTGGAGCAGGTATCTAAAGCTGCCCTGACCTGCTCACACACTGAATTAAATAATAGATTCCTAATCATTGTATGACTCCAATTATCCTCCTCCTACAAGAGTCCACTTGTCTCCATATCCCCAATTTCTGACTCGTTCATTTCACAAATAAGAACAATTTAAGTCTCAAAAGCCTAAGATTGTCACGAGTCACACTTCAGCAAACTGCTGCATACAAATGTTAATGTTACTGTTGTTTAAAATCTACATATTAAAGCTTTATCTGCTTACTGAACTTTCTTCTTTTTCTCATCAAGGGCACCGTTCTTGACAGAATTGACTTCAATGTGGAGCAGGCTTGTGTTAAAACAGAAGATGGACTTAAACAGTTACAAAAGGTAAACACACATTGCTCATGTTCACATTCAGATTTGGACTTTTTTGAATCAGTGACGGGGACCTTTTTAGTAAAATCAATTTCCAGTTCCGATTGTTTATTATTATTATTAAATGTGTGGTGTAATTTCTAGGTGACTTTGAGCATGCTGAATACACACAATTATGATCCCATACAAGACAAGAAACAGGATCCACAAATGCTTAGTTATCAAAGAATTACTATCCAAGTTAATTAGACACTTAATGTTTTGTGCATGAAATTGAGAGCAAGTCAAATGCAGTAAATAACCTTTTTTTTTTGGTTCCTTTACAGGCGGAACAGTATCAGAAGAAAAACAGAAAGATGCTGGTCATTTTGATTCTCTTTGTCATAGTCATTGTTCTAATTATTATTCTTTTTGGAACAAAGTTTTAATGATGCATTCCTCTGGCTTTTGTTTGTCTGTGTGGGTTTTTGTGCATCTGTGTGGACTTGGACTTGCTCTCTGTTCTACTGAGAAAAAAAAAAGCTATCTGCCTTTCATACCCACTTGGAAATGAATAATATGAAATCTACATCTCTTTACTGGTGCACTTTGGTCTGTGTGGAGGTCTTATGTGGTTTATTTAAATGAAAAAAAAAATCAGTTTGATCTATTGGCTATTTTATAAAGTGAAACACCATATTGCAAAGAGACTGCGGCAGAAGTTTGTAGGACTGTACTTACAGTATGTTGACACGGTGTCTTAACAAAAGGAGAAAAAAAAACTTGGTAGTGTATAAAACATGCACTCACTATGTTTAAATGCTAAAGCAGAGATCTATCTGCTTGAACTCTAAGCACTAACTGTAACATTAATCGTGTGAAAATGCCTCGTTTCTGTCCCCTATCATCCCAAACATCTTGTTTTTATTGTGAGGAAGCTGTGACAAGAACAAATGTTTGTGGAACAGAAATATGCATCTTAACATTACATTTATGTCCTGGCTCAGTATTTTACCTTGAAAGAGTAAAACTTTCAAACAAGGACAGTCCCAGATAGAAATAGAACCGTCATTCAGTACCAAATATATTCCTTCAGATAAAGGCCCACATATTTCTTTTTTTTTATGATTTAACTCCCCCAAATGTATTTATTGATTGTTGTAACTCCACTGTTGGCCTGGGGAGGATGTAAACACTTATCTTATTCTTCATTTAAAATAATGTCACATCTGCTGCACTTTTCATCAAGTGCTCCTTTAAAAAACAAAAACTATGTTGTTTTGTGTCACATGGTCCTTGCATAAAGTGCTACCTTTTTAAACTCTTGCAGTTTGCACATTAAGGCCTGAGGGTGAAGGTGGCTGTGTTATGGATGTAATACTACTGTCATCTGTATGATGAAAAGATTTATTTATTTTTTAATAATGTCAAATAATCAAGAGGTGCAGAGATGTCCTGCATCAGACAGAATTGCTGTATGATGAGTAAAGAGTGTCTGTAGTACAAACTTAACAGTTATTGTCCTTTCCACATAGAAAATTGTGATGTAGTCCAACTCAAGCAGACATGAAGACAGCATTATGATATACATGTATTTTTTTTCTTCTCCAAATCAGATACAGTAGGTTTTAGTCGGCTGTGTCAGAAATGATTGACATGTTCTTGTGTTCTATAAAGAAGAGCTTTCTTAAACATATCCATTCTCAAATCTTCTGTTGTTCAATCATCTTTGTCACTGATGTGAAGTCGTGCGTGTGAAAACGAATCATTTCCTTGTGGTACTCTTAAGTTTTGTTTTGAAAACAAAATGAATGAGGAGACAACTTGTTTTTGTTTTTTTAAATAAACCTTGAACATGATGGTGTTTCTTGTTTGGAGTTTCAGCCCTCATATGATTACAGCTGAAAGAAAACAAAAAAAAGATTGTCCACAAATGACATGAAGTATTTGATATTTAAAGGGATACTTCACCCGTTGAAACATGAAGCTGTATTGACATTGGGTCATATATGTAGTAGAAATGTGAAATAAATTAGGAAGTTGGTGACTTGGCTGAGAAAAGGCAGAAAGTGTCTTTTTGGCTCATGTGGATGAAAGACACCAAATCCCACAATGCACAGCACTGCAAGCCACTCCCACTAAGGTCAGGTTTACAGACAAATTTACTTCAACACATAAGGCCGTTTCCTCAACTGATTCTGAGGTTTTTTCCAGAAGGAATTGGTATCTTGGAAATTCCTGGCAGAAAACAGACTCTATGTCTGTGTCCATAAGCAAACAGTGAGAGCACAGACACTTCCAGTCCACCCCAGCTAGAGCCGACCCGGGCTCCTCGTCCTCACCGCCGCCAATAGGCAGGCCTTATGTCTCTGCTGATGTGCCGGTGGCGGCCAGCAATTTTGCAATATAGCTGCGAGACATTTGCTGCAGACAGGCTGGTCTTGTTTCTCAGCTGCTGCGACCAGCGGCTGCCCCGTCGGCCAGCGGACGCAGCAGCGAAGACACAAGACTGTCTGTCTCGCCGCTATATTTATATTTTTTCGCCATTATCAGCTTTCTCTATAGAGCATGTTAGCATAGTTTCTAAGCATTATGGCGGACGTTAAGTTTCGATTCTGGGAGTGAGTTCCCACCCACTGATCTGTGATTGGTCTGTAGCTTCAGTGGTCAAAAATATGAGGAACTAGAGTTGTAGTTTCACCCCGCTAACTGCAACAGCTTCCAGTGATGCAAAATGACGAGTTTTGCGTCACTGGAAGCTCCTTTTAAGACTCAGAAATACAAAGATTTCCCATCTCGGGAAAATGAGGGCGGGATGCACGACCATTCAAAAATACTACCAGGTTTCTAATGATACAAAGCTTAATGCAAATGGCTGAAGTATCCCTTTAAGTCTATTCAGCAATAATAGCAAACATCTAGTTATTTTCTGCTTCACAATTAGATTTGCTCCTTTTCTTTGTCGTCGTTATCAAATTAGTCCAGTTTTCTACTTTTGATAACAAAATAATCAATTAAAGTTTTTAGCACTGCCAATGATTAATACACGAAATGAATTTAACTGGAAAACAATTAGTAAATTGACCAAAAATGAAATCTTAATTTTAGTATGTATACTCACAAGTGCGTGATCATGAGATCAAACAAATACAATAAATAACGAGACCGCACTAATGTGATTGATAGTGATGCAAAAGCGTGTGCAGTTAATTGCTCTGATTTTGCCTTAATGTGAACGCAGGAGGTCCATGAAGTTTCAAATTAACAGCAATGCCTAAATAACAAAACCAGAGTTTCAAATATAATAGGGGATTAAATGTACAAAGGCTTCGAATAAACTTGGACCGGAGCTTTTCACTTCAATCTCCACACCTGATTATTATTTTAAGGCTACAATAATTGACCTCACTGTTCACGAGTGTAGTGCGCACACACTAAATATTTAGGGTAGTGCATGGATAGTGAAGTGCAGCCAGAGGGCCAGTAACCCGGAAATTATGGGTTTTTCTTTCAAAGTAAAAGCATCGTATAGCCGTATATTTATTTACACCACTGTATTTGTGTAATTCAAAGTGCAGTTTCAGTCAATAGACGTAATACATATCGGTAAAATGTCAAGGTCGTGTCTCTCCCCTGCTGGAAAAAATGCGGTCTCAAATATTAACAGTCTCTAATTAATACAGTGTAGTCTGTGGTCGAAACTGCGCACGACATCAGCTGTGAACAAGCATACGGCCTAATAACGTTGTACATTATTAAGGAGTAGGTATAAACACATTTTTTGAATGTTCACTCGTAATTGTTTATACATCTTTGTCATGCAGCTTAGTGTTTATTACTCTGTTTATGTTCCTATTGACTGACCTGGAAGGCGTCTAAACGTCATCCTGCACACAGCATGTTAGTTGTGTATGTTAGGTTTTAACTAACACACGTAGGTACTGACTTTAAATCGACGAAACTAATTTAATTTTACCAGTCATGATTTCTGATGGGGATGAAGACGACCCGTTTCCTGTTGACGACTGTCTTTTTGCCGATACTTTTTCTCAAGACACTGTTTACACTTTATGCGGGCAGGATCTGAAGATAAGACAGGTGTTCGGTGCGAACCTCGGCGTGGCTGCCCCGGTCTGGGAGGCAGTAAGAACCAGCCCGGTTCAGTGTTGAAGTTGTGATCACATCCGTTTTGCCAGTGTGACTTTTGTCTGACACTGTATTTGTATGTTGGCACAGGCGATACAGCTGTGTTGTTTCTTTGAGGATGAGTCGGTGGATTTGAGAGGAAAGCGCATCATTGAGCTGGGAGCAGGGACCGGTGTGGTTGGTATTTTGGCCGCACGCATGGGTAGGCTATGTTTTCATGTTATTGATCAGTTAAAAAGTTGTTCTCATGTCAACCAACCTCTTATACACACATGTCAATATTCTGTTTATTTTCAGTCCATGACTGCAGCTGTCAGAGCAGGAGTTGTTCCTGCTGTGTCAGTGTTGTTAATATCTAACTCATTAAAGGGGCTCTATGTAACTTTTTACATCGTTTTTTTTAATCGCCCATTAATGAGCGAACAGTTAACTGATGTGAAAAAGTAGATGTTCACTAATTACATCTCACTAGATCAACAGTACAAACTCATCACACTCTCCTACTTCTGCCAGAGGTCGTTTCCACACACTTCAATCCGCCTTTAGAGCTCTCAAAGGCCGACAAACTCATCACACACTCCTGCTCTCAGCCAGTGCCTGCAGAGACTGTCGTTTGTAGGATGGAGAATGAATACAGACACGCAGACTTCTTCACAGACTTTCACATGTGTATGACCACTTACCTCCTCTGTAAACATTATATTGGTAAATATCCAATGTTTCGCGGCCGATGATGATGCTCGTTTGTGTATTGACGAGCAGGCGAGGGAGAGCTGGCAACAGGTTACTGGTGCAGTTCACCTAAAGGCCATGCGGTATCTCTACAAACGCAGTATTTTTGAAAGTTACATATAGCCCTTTAAGCAATGCCAAAATATCAGTTTGATGATTTTTCTGAGTTGCTGCCATCTGGAAATAAGATATGTCCAAATCTAAAACTTAATGATATAAGAGCGTATCAACACTTTCTAATCAGATTGATTTACCTTTCAGGTGCAGCAGTGACACTCACAGATCTTCCTTTGGCTCTGCCACAACTTCAGGCAAACGTGTCTGCTAACATTCCACTCGGTGGTTGGCCGGTCTCCCTTCCTACCGTCCTCCCTCTTTCCTGGGGTGAGGACCAAATGAAGTTTCCCTCTGACTGGGATCTGGTGCTTTGTGCAGACATAATTTACCTCCCAGAGACTTACCCACTGCTTGTAGAAACATTAGCTCATTTGTGTAAGAGCAGAGGCCTGGTATATCTATCTTCTAAAATGCGTAAAGAGCACGGGACTCAACATTTCTATGAGGACTATCTGCCAGAAAGATTTAATGTGGAGCTTTTGAAGCATGAGGAAAATCAAAACATTAACATATACAGGGCATCTCTAAAGTAAAACCAGTGACCACAGGGGCTACCTGCTATAGACCTTGTACTTAATGAATTTCTGTACTGACACAAGTTATGACTATTTTAATTTCAATGCCTACAATTAAACAAACCTAAGAGGCTATTGCAATTTGCAAAAGGCACAACTGTTTATTTGACATATATATCAAGGGGCTTAGATTCCAAAGAACACTACAGTTTCATTTGTTTTTTTAAATTGAAGATCAACATTTATATTTTATAATGTAATTACAACTTGTCAAACATTTGCACACATTTTCAAACAAAAAAAATGGCTTCCCCTGTATTGAGATTCAGTCAACTAATTGCTGGTCTAGAACCTAAAGGTAGAGTCAGTAGCATTGTCAATGCACCTTGTAAATACAACATTCAAACTGCACCCCTCCTCCTGGGATCAGCGCTACCAGAATCACACACTCCATGCACGCTGATTGGCACCTGCCTGTCCAAAAGTAAGCAGGCCAACTCCACGTTCTCTGGTTATAGCTTACCAAAGATTCACCCTTGTTCGGGAAGAGCTTTATCCACGTGGTTTTCACCTTAACATGATAATATTTTCCATTCTTTACCCCCTATGCCACATCTGGCATATTCGGTGGTTTGAATCTCATAGCTAAATTGTATCAACGCACCTGCAGGCTGGCGTTGGCTGGGGGAAACACACCAGCTCCCCGCCCAGAAACGTCCCGAGTCAACCAAAACAAAACAAAATATGAAAACCGAGGCAGAGGACAGGGTCTCTGCAGACAAAGTCACCCCAACACATCTATGGATGCCCATAAGTGATGATTGAGCAGCATTACTTTTGTATAAGTCTGTCATTTATTTTTTTAGGAGACGTTAATGACTCTACCTTTAAAGGTTTGGTTTCCACTCAGGTCAGAATTGAGTTTACATTTGTGATGCACTAAAAAGTGGAATGCTGATGAACAATTACTTTGATTTTTACTCAGATGATTAAAGTTGTTTAAATAAAGTCTTTCTTATGCTTATTTGTCTTGAAAGTAATCTGTAGTATCTTGTTTATATTTCACAAAAATAAGTCCTACCTATTTCAATGTTTTGACAAGGGAAAAAAATATGAATTGACACTTCAAAGCACTCACTCTACTTCAACAATAAAAAAATGACATTGGGTTTTGGATGAGATATATTTTAGTTCCTCACTTATTTTTTACAGTGCTTTCTAACCTGGAACCTGCTTTCAATTAAACATATTTTCCTACATATAAAGCCAAGCTGGTATGGAAATAATTGCTTATAATATGTTGGTATAAGCTGTTGATATCCAATACAGTAGTATATCTTTGAGATATAAAAAAACCAAAACAAGGTACACCCCATCCCCATCTATTCTGTCAACATCAACAGATTGCCCTCACGCAGCCTGCTGTCTGTGTGCACTTCATCCCCTCTCTCCTGATCACTGCTGATGTACAGCCTTTCTGTTCAGAGAAGGAAAGCCTGTTTGTTACGCTGGAGAGTTACAAAGAAAGGGACACAGCGCATCCGCTGTCCGTCTCTCTGTCTGCAACAATTGAGCCGACAAAACAACAGATCCTATCTCCATGCAGAGTCTGCTCACCATCAAGCTGAGCACCAACCACATGCCTGTCAAAGCGTGGATCATTGGCTTTGTTGTCATACCTTATCATTGGACACATTTATGAAAACTTTACAAAGCCTTGAAGTGCAATTTGAGCCAAAAGGAAACAACAAAAACTAAGTTTTATAAATAATAGTTTTTTAAATGTTAAACGGAGTAGTGCATCTGTTTGAGAAGTGTTCCAATTACAACTTCAGTGTGAAGTTTTCTTTTATAGTACTAGCATGATAACAAATTTTCCATAAATCCCTAGGCAACAATGTAAAAAAAAAAATAATGTTTTAGCTGATTCTATAACATCTCTTATCGTAGCAGATATGGTACAGTTGTGTTATCCATGTGCATTAATATTTTGTTTAATTAGTGTTATGTTGTATCCTATGTTGCCCTGATTTTAGTTTTGTATGTCTGTTGTAAGCAATGATGCATCTTCAGATAGAATTTCTAAAAACATGATTAAATAATTCGTAAGTGGTATTTGAATTGGGTATGATGGTTTGATTAGAGGAGGATGGGCTTACAGAGTGTGAAGTGGGAGGGGGACTGAAAACCAACCATCCTTTAAAAACAAGTTGTCCTGTTTGGATTTCACTAGACCTCACATCATCTCATGGGTAGCGAGGATTATAATCTGAAATAAGGTATGTAATATGTGTGCTTTCCTTATTCACTTTTTACATGATATGATGTCTCAACTGCATGTGAGGAATTTTTAAATCAACTTTTTTAATTTAACAAATCATGTGTTGTTTTTCAAGTTTTCTCATAAAAAAAAAAAAAAAAAATTCATTTAATACACCTCTACATCATAGTGAAACACTTAGATATTTTCCTTAATTTACTGTTTTAGATCTGTGTATCGGACTCAAGGATGGAGTTCTGGACTGAGAATCAAGGGCAACTGCCTCTTTACTCCAAATATGGTACAGTTCCTGGGAGAAACTGTGCACATAAGTGAGTTGAGTGCTATGAAAACATTTTCAATCAGTTATCTTTTTTGACAATATTTATGCTTGTTTGACGAACGAAAAACTTAATTTGTTATCCAGCTTGAGACTAAGTATCAATACATCAGATAATGAAATGTGACATTTATAATTGCTTTTTGAAATAATTTTTGTTTACTTAGCAATCTTTCAACCACTTTACCTGCAGCTACCATGACAGACATCAGGAAACCCAAATTCCATTGTACTACAGGGCACAGCAAGATCAAGGCAGGGAGCCCAGTTACTGGACTGCACCAGGATCAAGAACAGGAGGGGCTCCACATGGGTATTTTAACTGGACAGACCAAGATTTGACCAGTTCTACTTCATCTCAATTCCCTTTCATTCTTGACAGTTATCATCAGCAGCACCCGGACATTGGAGAATATCAGCTGCATGAAGCCAGAGACAGAGAGTGGCCAGCAGCTCAACAAGCTGCGCGGGAATACGATAGAGGATATCAAAGGGAAGGGTGGCACAGGAGGTGGGAGTCCTGTAGTCCCATCCGCCCCAACCAGGAGGTTTTAACTAAGAGGAGCGACAACAGCTACAGAGAGCTGGAGGCCTGGGCAGCACGATACAGCCATTCACTTCCAAGAAGGAAACGCATAGAAGCAGAGTTGAGGGGTGCCTCTCAGGGGCTGTTAGAGAGAAGGGCACCAGAGAGAGACAACAGCAGGAGAGCGACAGATCCTCAAGTAGCAATGCTGCAACAAGTTGTACAATCTGCAAACATCAGAGAATCAGGACAGTGGGATAGAGGAGGGAGACAGCAAGGTCCAACACATTATGCTTCACAAACTTCAGCCGGGGACACAAGCCACATGTGGGACATGAAAGAAAACACCAGCAACCAAAGGAGGACGTTCAGCCAGCCTCCTGGCTATATTGCTCCTCCTCCCTACAACAGCCCACACAAAAGTTCACCTGCATTAAAACAATGTGACGCTAGTTTAGAGAAGGAAGGTAATATACAATCTTACTGGTCACAGCCCAAACTCCAAAAGCAGGATGTCTCTACAGATCTGCTTTGTCAAAGAAAAATTGAAAAAGAGGATATTGCGCAACCAGACGGAAGCCTTGAAACCTTTCTAGAGCTTGACAGACTTAAGCATAGACAACAGGAAATAGATGCTTTACAGGAAAGCAGTCACGATATTATCCAGACAACAAACATACAGCACAAGATTATGTTGTCTCTACAAAAGCCACAGGTATTACAAGCTGTTCAGAATAAAAAGATAAATGAGGACTCGTCCTCAAAAGTCATTGAAGGCAGGAAGTTCAGCTTAAATAAAAAGAAGGGAGGTATGACCATATTCTGCTTGGTCTCCCGTATAGCGGGCACAACAGAAACCAATTCTTTGCCACTTTGTACCTCCCAAGCAAACATTGAAAACACAGAATCCGCAGGACTTTCTAAAAATCTCAGGGACAATGGTGACAAACTGGCAGATGAGGTAGACTTCAGAGCACCAGCAATGAAAGAGCAGTCGAATACTTCAGATTCAAGAAGCCTCCAAGCCACACACAAGGATATACCAAGTTGTGTAGAAAGTTATGCCAATTCTTCATTTGGGAGTCAGGTTTCTCAGTCGGTGCAGCCTGTGTCAGTCAAGTACCCTTTGTGGAGGGAGCCTAGTTCAACAAGCAGACCTGAAACTGACAGTTCATCTGAATTCTCAAAGGTAATCAGCAAGGAAGGGGAGTCAGATATTTTGGAAAACAAAATGGACACTGTAAAAGTTCATCCGATTGACATTGAAGTAAGGAGACTGGATATCACAGAAGACACTGAATCTGAGGACAGTAATGGCCTTCTGGTTATAGACACAACCTGTGTACTTGTCAAAATGGAGCTGATTCCATCACCAAAGAAAGAGCATGTTCACTATTTAAACTCCACGCCACACACAGAAGAGAGTCCCCTTGATATTCTCTCCACAGTCTCTCCGGAAGTTGACCAATCAAACAGTCAGCTGAATCAAGAAGTGGCATCAGACCAAAACTCAGACTCAACCCCCTTGAACCTTATTGAAGGGCTTGAGACTCAACAAGAGTCAGATCTTGGAGTGAAAAAGGAACCAGAGGGGGAAATTGAACTCTTCCCCTGCACTTTATCATCTTTAGTTTCTGATGGGGAAACCATGGTGGAGCGCGCTGAAAGAATACTAGGAATCCCTTTAAAAGACTGCATCACTGAACAGAAACCTGAAGAACCTGTGTCACGTTTTGACTCATTCATGGAAAACCAAGAAGGTTGCCCTTCTCCAACTGAAGATGACAACAATTCTGATGCAGTGGATCAAATCCAAGAGGACACAATAGAGGAGACGCAGTCAAAGAATCCAACAGAGGTTGTTAGCCAAACTGAGGATGCAGTTTGTTTGCAAGAGGATAATGATGTCAAAATTGAGAAAGAATGTAAAGACAGTCAGGACTTTCCAGGAATACAGGAGCATGTGTCTAATAGGTCTGAAGAGAATACAATTGTCTCCCACCTCAAAAATGACATTAAATGTTCACTTGAAAATGAAACGACTGATGATCATCCGCTTGAATCCACTGAGGAAGACAATACGACTGAGCAGGGTCATGACAAAAATCTGCCTTTAGAAATTGATACCTTTACTCAACATCCAGACTTACCTGACCTCAATTCCACAGAAAACCAAGCTCCTCATCCAGAAATCTTATGTTGTACTAACACCCCATCAGAGCAACTGCCACCTCCACTTCAATCAAATGTATTTTCCCAGAGCTCAACTCCCCAAACAGACAAATGTCCCATTCCTTCTCTTGATTTAATTGATCAAGCTGCGGAAGCATTTTCCAATGGAGCAGAGGACCAAGATCAATGGGGTGAATTATCACAGCCAATAAATGATGAGATCAACAATGCGCTTGCCAAAGACATGACAGATGAGTGGGTGACAAAGAAGACTTTTTGCCTATCAGATAATGCTTCTTGTGTAAAAGAGAGCATTGTCACCAATGAACAACAAACAAACCAAGCTGATAAAGATCTCACAGGCCATATTATGGAAGATGATGTTGAGTTCAATTTTCCACAATTTGAATGTGTCCAATCAGAGGATGTTGCTTGTGCCATAGATTCTTACATGACTGAAGAGCAACAACCTAAAGAAGTCACTGAGGATCTTACAGGTGTTTTGCAAAAGACATTATCCATAGGCAATGCAATAGACACTCAAACTCCAATGGAGACCTCAACTGTACAGGACAGTGAACCACTGTCTGAAGCCCCTGACTCCTGTCCTCTCTCACCCCGTTCTTTATCTCCATCACATTTGGAGTTGGTCTCAACCTTTTCATCAGATGAATCAAACAAGCCTGTCAAAGAGTTAGTTTCTCTTTCGGAAGTGGACTCAGTCTG